CACTGTTTCCCACCTCACTGCATCCTGCAAGTAACAGAGTGACAAAACCAGCCACCTGAGATGTTTCCCACTTGCTCTGCTACAGAGGGGCACGGGCGGAGGGGAGAAGGCAATTGCATAGTACAGAGACAGGCTAACTGCAACATCGAGCTGAGAGCATTTTTAATGGGAAGTGCAGATTAGATCTTAATGGCAGCAGTACCTTGGACTTCATGCAACGGCGTTTCTAGAAATCTTTCATTTGCCACAGTGGGGGAGATGCTGACAGCTGTAGTATATTCTCTTCCACCTACAGCTATCGGCCTGTGCACAAGACCCCAGGCTTCCTCTGCCAAACATCACGTTGATTCTGACAGCAGGGCATTGAGATGTCCTGCTGCTGCACAGTGCCTGTTCCTGCAGCAAGAAGCTGCAGCACATACGCCTCTGCAGTCATAAATGCCACTGGAAGAGTAACATGGTGATAACACTTCACCGCTGTCTGTTCCAATAGAAAGTCCATCCAAAAAGACACCCACAGTAAAGCAAACCATAACTACTTGACATGGGGTTTTTTTCATAATCCTATTACAGAAAAAAAGAGATTTTGCTGTCACATAATATGACTTAAAGTTACTGTGATGGCACAAAGTACCAATTCACTACGAATTTTTGTGATTTGTAGCCTGCTCAGAAACACAGCTACTTCCTTGGAAACAAGCATGACAAAAATAGTTTACCTCCTCTCATTGATGATGGCTGTGAATACCACTAGTCAAGCTCTGCTTGGGCAGCTGCCTGCGCTCACTGGGCTTTTGAGAGGGAAGCCGGTGGACAACGGGCTACTCTGTTGAGTGCATCTACAAAGATTTACACGTACCCTCATTTTCATAACCGTGCATCTTCACAGTGCCTCTTTTCAAAGCCATCCAACCTACATGCAAGAAGTAGCAGTTATTTTCTTGGCGAACTGAATTTCTTGGTACAACCAAATAGTATACTTGTATTTTTTTTAAGAAAGGTCTCTGATGAAGTTAGCGAAGTTGTATTTTAATTCTGATAGAAAGAGCCCAACAACACATATTTAGCAAAATTAAGCAGACAAATGAAGGCATTACTAGCAAATCCGCAACACAGGTGAAGCTTGTGCTTGAACAGCACGTTTTAGTTTAGGTGGGTGGCAAGGAGATGAGTGTCATCCCTTCTGGCAATCATACCCGTCTCACTTGAAGTCTCTGCGTAGTTTAAAGTTTCAGGAGTTACTTCATTGTCTCCATCTGCTTGGTGTGCAAGACATTGAAGTAATAAACATAAAACAGCTTACAGTTGTGAAGTATAGATTTGTGCCAATACCTATGCATTTAACATTTTGGTTTGCTTTCTTGTTTTGAAACTGGCCACATAAAAGTAATGGCATGGCCTCCTGGAAAACAGTTAAACCCAGCTGTGTGGCACCTGTGGGCAGTCATTTTCAAGGGGGATTCTGGCTTTATTGAGCTCAGCAGCAAGGATGGCTTCTGGTTTGAAAGGCAAAACTGTATCAGCTGTGGGCTCAGAGACTGTCGGAAGATCCTGGTCTCCATTTTCCCTGCAAGCTCTTCCTCTGCTACACTTTTCTCATTTTAAAAATACCTGTTACCAGTCTGATAGGAACCAAGGCACGTGAAAGAGAAAGAAAACTGGTATCATGATACTGATGAACACTATATGGGGAGAGGAAGCAGCAGCTAAAAGATGTGAGGAGGGAAAAGCCTTAGGAAGTGAACAGATCTCTTGGAACGTGGGGAAGAGAGTAACAGTGCCTTGGATGGGTATTTATGAAGTAGTGTTGTGTCCAGCTCAGGAAGCACGATTCTCTGGGCACTAAGAGAGGATTATATTCTATATACATTATTCCTGCTCATTTGTTTACTCCACCAGGTGGGAGAATCTGTATCCAAATGGCAGAAATACACAGAAACAAGTATTCTCTCTACCTTATTAAAAGTCTTGTCTCACAAGCTTAATTAGATTTATCCCCACTGCAAAATAAATTTAATACTTCATTTTAGGTGCTTAATTTTGTAGATGCAGTGTTTCTATTCACCTTTTACACAATTCCAATATAGAAATATGGCATATAAAGACAGCTATTTATGTTTCATACAGTATATTTATAGCTGATAAAACTGATGAGTGCCTTGGAATTTATGAACCAGCGTTCACCCAAAGAGACATTAGTAGTGTAGTCAAAGGTTAGTCAAAACTGACTTTTAAAATTCCCAGTTAATGAAAATCTCTACTACTCCAAAGCAAAGTTTTTCTAATGTATCATCATCTGTTTTGATTGAAATTGATTGAAACATAGCCCAAACCTTGTATATAAAATTCAACATTTGTCTATTAGAAACAGTAGGAGTTTATCAATACATTATGTTATACCTGCATGGCCTTGTAAAATTCAACAATTTCCAAGATGCTTCTATTCTACTACTCTGCTGCTGCCTGTGGAACAGGAGGCAAAGATGAAACTGTGCAATTAGGAAAAAGGACTGTTCTTGTAACTACAAACCTGACATACCTATAAATCATCTTTAGCTTGATATTGAAATCTATTAAAAAGCAGGCACTGTATTTAATCAGATCCATTACAATTTATGATTTAGGGGACCAACATGTAGGGGTCACATTACTACAGAAGTATCTCACAACCAACAGTATGAGTAACTTGAAGCAAGAACCCACGAACACAGTCTGTAGCAGGAACGCAAGCAGTGGCTGATGTGTGGCATCTTTATTTAGTAACGACTTTGTATTTCAGGTGATTTGGCCTGACTAATGTATAGGATTCTTAATGAAAGTAAAGCTCTAATGGGGAAACCCTTATTGTGCTTTTTTCAAGGAGACATCAGGTTTATACCACCTCTGAAGATTAGCTTAACTAGTAAATAGAAGAGCCTAGTTGTGTGTGGGGTTTTTAAAAGCTCATGACTTTTTCTTGCTCTAACACATAAACATTGCAAATTAAGTGCACCGTACTTCTGCAAAGAGATGTTTAACAACTTACATTACTTTTTCTGTACAGCATACATACACACACAAGTTTATATGGTCATAAGTGATGACAAAATAGATCTGATCTTTTACAAAAAGGAGGTCTGGGTTTGTGACCAGGCTTTAGAAAAAAGGTGAAACAATAACCAGAAGTTTTTAAAAAGCCAGTCTGGCAACAATAGTGGATAGCCAGTCTTATCTTACTTGGCAACTGGTAGGCAGTTCTGATTATTATTAAAAGCAACTGGAGAGGCCTCCCCAGAAGGAGACCTATTTTCTCTTCTAGTAATCCTTTATAAAAACGTCAGCCTGCTGGATAATGAATCTGAAAACACACGACATATTCAAACATCTCTCAATCCTTTTACTAAAGGAGCATCTCTCAAGATTGAAAAAGAGACCACTATTCATGATCTTTCAACCATCCAGTTGTGGTTGTTATATATATGCATTGTTATAAACCAACCAGCTAAAAATCACTTCAGAGAGGTCACTGAAGAGTCCTTGAATGCGTGTTGTTCTTTCAGCTGGGATAGAGTTAATTTTCACAAGAAGCTGGGAGTGGACACAGCCAGGACAGGTGACCCAAACTGGCCAAAGGGGTATTTCATACCATGTGACATCATGCTCAGGACAGAATGGTAAAAACTACCAGTTAGAACGGAACTCTAACAGAGAAGTTCCCATTATCCAGCACCTGCATTGTTTGGTCCCCATTTACCTAATAGGTAAGATACAAAAGACAGTAACTGCAAATGTCTACACATTTAAAAGAGAGAGGTTATCACACCGTGTTGATTAAAGCTAGCCCTGAAAACATTACTTGCAGCTGAATATTTCAGCATTGAGAAATGTGGAGTCACTGATAAAAAACCAGAAGGAGCTTGGCTGAAAAAGTTGTAGATCTTATGAGAATCAGTGCAGTCCAGAAGCATAGTTCACGTAACATCGAAATTCATTGGCTAAATTTCGTGAGTGTTTTGGAATAAACTTGCATATCTTTACACCAAGATGCTTTGCTGCCTGTTCCTCCATGATTGCACCTGCAACAAAAATAATTAGTATTTGATGAGAAAAACAGTAACAGAATGTTTGGGCTTTTTTAATAGCTCCTCCCAAACGTGTATATATTGAGCCGGCTTTTTTTAAGGAAGCAAAGCTTAAAGCAGTGACATTGTCAACCCTTTTTAACAGCTGAAGGTATTGGGAAATTTAGAATAAATCTGAAAGAATGGAAGATGCCCCAAGGAGATGAATGTCCAAGGATTTTCATAAAAATAGGTAGAGGGTAAGATCAGTGCCCCTTTTATAGAAAACAGAAATTTGAACTCAATCTTCTTGCTACATGCCAAAGAAATTACATGGTAGGGAGCCATGGGAAATGCAAACAGATTACATATAGTCTTCTACTTAAATAAACTGCGGTGTGGTATTTACAGCTACGTGATGAGAGATCACTTCCTTGGGCAGTATTTCTCAAACTTTGTAAACTGAAGGACCACCTATCCATTTTAGGGGAAAAAATTCTGAGAACCATCCTTGTACATGACTGCCATGTGCAATTAAATGAAGAAGTAGGCTTTCTATAGCCATATATTATCTTAATTTTTATTTATTTTGCCTGCTTGGTTGACTTCCCTCAAGTTGTATGTATAGAGGGCTTTTGTCCTTTGTTTTTTTGCAAAAGTTGCTTGGACATCTTCAGATGTCTTGTAATAAGATTACAGTTTAAGAAACACCATGACTAAGGCAGATACTCGTTGCTTCTTAAACCAGTAAGTGCATCTTCATCAAGAAGGACCTGCAAGTATAGTTTGTAAGTCTTCCAGTTTCACTGCTCTAGTCACTGGGTTTTCATTCCTCCTGCTGCATTTCAGCATCTAAGATCTCCTCACTTGAATCACAGTGGCAGAATCTCCCATACATTGTAATTCACATTACAATTTCTATGTTTACCAGTAAGGACAGGTAATATGAAAAAAAAAAAAAGTTTACTTTTTTTTCTTTTGAAGACTTAGCTAAAATCATCCCACTACTGAGCAAAGGCCATGCCAACCTATTTGTCATTCTTCCTAGTTAGCTCACCTTAGATGCTAGGTAGTATCTGGCAGCTGAAATCCTGCAGCTACTGACATGTTTAGAAAATCATAAATTTGTCAGGTTATTCAATAAGACATTAAGTTGCACCTATGTTTGTCATACCCAGAATTCAATCATTGCAATTACAGAGAATGGCCCTTTTACAAGAAAAAATTATTTCTGGAATTTTGCAGGACTGTCTTACAATTCTTCAAGAATTTAGTAAAACTCATAATGCCATATGAAAAAAGTACTGACGTTAACTATTAAAAAACACAGCCTTCAGTTTAAAATAAAGGTTGAACTAAAGTATTCCCCAAAAAAAGCTCAGGATACCTCCTTGAATTTATGATAAATTACTGCATTAGTATTTTTCTCACTTGAGTAATTTTGTCTTTTGAGAGAGAAAAAGATTCTTAATGGTGACCTAATATTTTTATTAATTATACCTGTGCAAAGCAGAATCTTTCCTTTTGTTAAGTATTTGATGGTCTCGGCAGTTTTTTGAAGACATTCCTCAGACAGATAGGGTGGATCTGCTATTACAATGTCAAAACTGTGTGGAAGGAGATTTTCAGGTAAGTTCAAAGGGTGGTTGTAATCATAGAAGATAAATTCTTCTCCATATACAGAAAACCTTCTGTCGTATTCCAGTATACACACTGAAAAATCTTTACCATCCTGTTCTTTCAGTTTCTGGTACACACTTGGTACACTAACACATGCTATCCTGAAAAAGAGACAGAATATTTAAAAGGCGAACAACAAAAAACCCTACAGCAGTCCTCAGGGCTGCTTTGGGAAAACATTTGTCCCAGAGATGTGATCTACTCTTCCTCCATTTTAACCAATAATTACTTTAATAACAAAGTTTTAAGTATTAAAGTCATTACCTATTCAACCTCCATGCTGCACAAAGACTTTAGGCTTAACTACAGAGAAAATCGTGTTTCAGAACAGCAAGGAAATATACTTGAAAACCTAAAATTAAAAATGACTCCTTACAAAAATAGGATGAAAACTAAGTTTTTCCATCTGTTCTACAGAAACATTGCATGAAAAAAGGAATTAAAAGTCATTAATATGCTCTGGAACTCTTTGTATTTCTCAAAAAATAAAGATTCATAGGCAGAGCCTACAACGTTCAATGAAATGCTGAATGGTAACATCAGTATGAACTATTAATTAAATAACACCAAAGCATTTCTGCAATATCTCAATTGAACAAAGATGAAGTACAATGAGTAATGAATTAAACAGCATGCTCAGCCTATGCAGCAGAAAAAGTATTTACAGAAAAGACATGTTAAATCTACAATGAAATCATTAAAACCTACCTGCCACCTTTTCCAGCTGCCACAACCGCTTCATTAGCCAGGCACGATGCAGTTTCATCATTGTACCAAAACTGGCTCAGTTGCTGAGAAAGATAATACACAATTACAAACAATATCAAACCTTCTGACCGTGCTATGTACAGTTAGTTTTGGTGAGTCATATTCAAAGAAAATCAAAATCCACAGCAACTTCTCAGTTCACAAACGGTAAAGCTGGAAAGCCGACTATTTTGCTGATAGCCTTTTTACTTCTGTAATTCAGTGACAAGCAGCAGTGTCACTGCTGTGACACTGTGTGTTTCCAAAGCATTTACTGCAGTACCAGGAAAACCAAGTCATGCAAAATCACTGACAAGATTAGTTCAAACCAAAAGTGCAGATGCACAATATTTATGTGCTCTTCAGTTGAGTTACTTTGGCAGAAGAGGAGAAAGGAACTTGAAAAATGACAGTATAAGAGGAAATAAAGGATAAAGTACTAACCAGAAGAGGTCAGGAAGAGTACAAAAAAACCCCCAACCCAGAGACAAAAAAAAAAAAAAAAATCAGTCTGTCAGAAGGAAAAAAGCAAGGCAGCCATCCACAAAACCAAAGAACTAAACCACCAAAAAAAATAGGACGTGAAGGGAAAGATCACTCAAACTAGATACACTGTTGGTCTCAAACTCAAGGAAGAATCTTCACTATCTTTCCATGCCAGGCTGAAGTTAAAATTTCCAGAAGGACAGATGCTTCCATTGGCAGCTTTATTCCCTCTCTTCAGGTAATTTCATTTTGTACCCCCCCACACATGGAGAACAGAAAACCGTGCCCAGATTTAATATTAAAGCAAATATCCCTACAGTGTTACTGTCCATGAGTGGTTCGATTTTGCCACTCTAGGAACATCTTGAGTGTTCCCCTTGTTAATTTAATTTCATTATCCACCCACAAAAGAAACCTGGTAAAGCCTGTTCCTCTAACTGTGCTTCACTCCTGGAAGTTTAGTTTCTTACCCAGTCTTCTTCTATTGAGCCAACAGAATATTGATTAAACCCTTGGGAGGTCTTCATGCCCTCTCTCTGCTGCTGTTCCAGATAGAACTCCTGGAGGGCAGCCAACGCATGGGATGAAAGCTGGGGAATGTCATCATCATCATCATCCATTTCTCTAGATGTCAATCGGAGGGGAAAAAAAAATTAATTAAATTACCCCTTTTCAGTGGTGAATGCTTTTAATAACGGCATACTCTGCTGAAGTAAAACAACCTCTACTGACACTGCAGACTTAGTCTAACAGCTACTGGGAAAAGCTCCTAACATGAGAAAACATACTCCCTCTACTTAGGAGCTCTTAAACCAGTGAGAGGCAGATTGAAATAACATGTCTCCAGAGAGAATTCAGGAACAGCAGCAACACTGCTCCCTTTCTATACAACACAGATTTGGCTTGTATTCTTACAGGTAAGTTGTCATTACAGTTCTTGATTTCCTGAATTCATACACCTTTTTTTGTATCAGCTTGCAGGAAAAAAAGCTTTAGTGGATTTTGCAAATCCTATATAAATTACTGCCTTTCCCCCCAGAAATAATGATAGCTACTGGTCATTCCGTCCTATGTTCAAAAGTCAACACAATTCTGACTCAAAATGAAGTAAACTAGTATTCTAGGATCAGCATCACCTGGCTTTTACTTCCACACCAGAATCCCAGAAGTCTTCTACAAACAAGAGCAGGCAAGAAGCTCAAGAAGATGTTTTTCTAAGAAAACACTACTTGACTGAAAATCTGTGTATTTTGTGCGTAAGAACACAGCCATACATTGTATCAAAGAGACATGGTATATACTAATGGAAAAGTGCAGCCATTTTCAGAAAACTCTTGAGGTGGGTTATGCTGCACAGTATCACTTAACCCTGCTCGCCCCAAGCAGCTAAGCAGCATCTGCCCAGAGGGAAACCTGACGCGTTGGTGTCTGTCCCAGAAGAGACCACCTCAGGGAACAAAGGTGATGAAAAGAGGAACCCAGCACCTGAAAAGTACTGGAGAAAAGTGGAAAAGATTCTTCTCTAAGAAACCCATTTTTTCTGCAACTGGTCTAAGAACTAGTACACAATCAATAACAGAACTTAGAAACAGGCGTACGCTGCCTTTCTGCAGAAGTCATCGAGAGAACCGTGCGTCATCTGAACTGCATGCAACTTCAAAAATTCAGTATAATTTGAAGTATAGCTGCTCAGGGTTTTTCTTTCTCCCTATTCTCTGCATTACAACAGAGGAGACAGCTTTCAAGACATTTCCTAAAACTCAGCTTCTCCCTACTTGCTGGAAAAATGGTACCATTAACTTGCCACTGTGAGATAACTCATCAGTATTCATTAGAATAATTACTCTGCCATTCCACTGACAGGGTACACACCTACATGCGAGAAGAGTAAAGCTCGTGGCTTTTCCAGAGTATCGTTTATTGACTTACTGGCTTCTCAGGCAGGGTTGGCCAAACAGGGAATCGTTCAGAGCCTAAAGACCCACCTATGCCATTAGCAAGAGAATTCTGGAGTCAAGCTACCTACTAAAACCAAAATGGCTAGTTTTGTCCCTATTTTTTGGTTGAATAGAACATAAATGCTTTTAAAGTATTTATATTATTATATTATGTATTATTTAAAGTATTTACTATAAAAATTACTGCAAGTTCACACAGATAATATAGTTTCTAGCAACAATGCTGTAATGATACACAATGCTACAATCCATTTTAGGCCCTGTACAAGAACTTTTTTCATTAAGACAGATGTTAGAAGTTTAAAATCACTCATCTCACAACTTACTTTTTTATTAAGTGCATCATACATGTAGTAATCTGGTTTGTTATTATCCCCTAGGCAAGGACACATCTATGCTTTGACACTAAGAAACTGAAACAGCTGCAAACTTGCAGTTCTTAAGTCAAAAGTTGAAATTTTGCTGTTCAGTGAGCCCACATAGGCATTTGCAAGGACTAAATCCATGCCCATGAAATGAAACTCTCACGGATAACATTGCTGATGAAGCATTACCCATTGTTTCAGTAGATAAAAAGGCATACAGTCATAGACATCTTTTTTCTATAAATATTTTTGTAGTTGATTTTTAATAGTCTTCCTTTCGGTTTGTAAAGTAAAGCCTTAGGAACCAAGCAGTAATTAACTGTGAGGTTGCAAGGAGAGGTAACTCAAAACATATGGTAGAAATATTATGTACCCCTATTAAGAGCACCTTCAAAATTCAAGATACTTTTCTGAACATACATATATTGCCTAGAAATACTGACGTAGGTCATTAGCATGAAGACATTTTCATGCTCAAGAACTACATCAGAAAACTATTAAAGTGAGTTTATGTGAACGAGACTTGTAAATTCCTTTGGCTTTAAGGCAGTAGAAAGTTCCACTGTTTGAAAGCCCCTCTATACCCCCCCTCTCCCGAAAGCTCAGCGCTCTCAAGTCCAGAAACAACCTTGAAAGTTTTGGGGGAGGATGGGAGGAAGCAGAGACATCCAAGGTGCCTCTGGCGCTCAGGGAACCTTTAAACTCTGTTAACTCCCAAGGCCCCTAAGCCCTGAGGCTCCAGCTGGCCCATCCACACTTGAGCCCCGGGTCCCTCCAGGAGCAACCTGGAGCAGCCTGTCCTCTGTCCTCTCTACTAGAGCCACATGGGGGGACAGGGTTGCATTTTAGGAACGCTCTGAGATTCAGAGCGTTTGCAACACATTCAGTATTGGTACAGCCACATTACCTACACTAAAACCTTGTACGAATAGGAATACAAGGTTTAAAACTAGCAATGTGGGAAATCTTCTTTACTATTACTTCATAGCTGAAGTGTTGCATTTGCACCTAATTAAAAAGCAAAACAATAAAGAAATCAGATCTCCAAGAATAGCTCAAGAACATTGCGTACACAGCTTGGAAAAATAAGAATCACAGTGAAGTCAAAGTTCATCTAAAGGAAAGCAGGAAAAAAGGGGGTAAGCTCCCACAGAAACAGCAGAACATCAACAGGAAGGGTTGTGTTCATAGGGTAAAATGGCAAATGTGAATGCTACTGGCCTCTGAAGGGCCAGATCTACCCATAAAACGGGAAAAGTGAGATGACTACAACTATGCCACATGGCCCACAGCTCACACAGTGCAGCAGGTAGGACGCAGGGGGTGGAGGTGCCAGCAGACTCCTTAGTCCCTTCCCGTCTGCACAGCTCAACCTCTCTCTTACTAGATGATGAACTGTTCAGGTAAAAGCCATCACTACAGAGTGAAAGCTCTTCAAAGAAAACAAAAAATAAGTGAAAAGAGATAATACCAAGTGAAAACAGGACTCCAGGAGACTCCAAGGCCTTGTCTATGCAAGAATACTGTACCTATTTAACATTACTTTCCAGCTGTCATGTATGAAAACTCTGATTTTATATAGCCAAATTCTAAAGGGGAGGGGGAAAAAAGTTAGAAGGAACACTATGGAAAAATTACTCGTTCAAAAATTCCTGCAGTCTTTGGTCCCCTGTACATTGGTCCAGCCATAATTATGAAGTTATGATCATCTGGAAACCAGTCCTCTTTGAGATAGAGTGTGGCTTCTATGCCCAAATGTAACTGTGTCCCCTATCCAGAGAAGTTTGGAAACCTGCAGTCACCAGGTCAGCTGAGACAAGTGCCCCGAGTGCCACCTGCCTGGAGGTGAACAAGTCCCGATCAGAGTGCTGGACATGTGCCCTACCACCTTAAAGCCTGGGAGGTACTGCTCTCTGCTTGAGCTTCAGCTCCTTAACACGTACAGGGATCCAGATCCCACAGTCCCAGACAATGATCGGAGGGGGTGGCCAAACTAACCCACATATAGGTGCTGAGGGAAAAAAAAAGCCCAGAGAAAGAGAAACAATTTTTCAGATCTTTAAATCCTAAAAAAAGTTGTCAATGATTTGACAAGATACTGGGAGTATCGCCAAATGCACTTTCACAGGAATGACGGACAGGACAAAGTGTATGAAATATATCAGTCTAAAGTAATTTAGACAAAACAAACTCCTCCTGCTAGCTAGGGTGGTCTACCCAGAAGAAATGAAGAAATGCTAGGCCATACCTATGTCTGTTTTGCAGAATCTTCTAATACAAATAAAAACTTTTGCAACATCTGAGAGGTCATCCTCAGGCACAGGCAGCCAGCTTGTTCCCTCACAGTCAACTGGGAAAAACTCAAAACCTCAAGTTTTTGGGGCCCCAGTGCCATGAAACAGAACAGCCTCTGAACAAGATGGCCAAGCCAGGGGATGTCAGAAAAGCAGAACTGACAAACCTGCACACAAACCTGAAGCAGTTTTCTTATGTACTAATGGTTTTGTGGAGTAGGAAAAGAGGGACAAGGCAGGATTTGTGGACCACGAGCACCTCACCTGCCACAGATCTGAGAACAGCTCCATTTCAGGATTAAGTCCAGAGAACTTTTTGTTAACATCTACGGCAAATGGTTCAAGAGGAAAGCTGTACTAGTTCAGAGCAAGGGTTGATAGTGGTCATTCCTGAAGGTGGCCAAAAACAGCTGTCTCGGAGCAAGATAAGGCAATTACATGTGATACCTCCCCACTCTATACTCTCCCAGACTTTAGCCATTTTTCACTAAGGGAGTTGGTTTTGCATCCGAAGTGATTTATTCTGTGCATGCAGTTCTCTTAGAGATGCTTGTCCAGTATCCCTTAAATTCACATGAAGCTTTTTAGTCTATAACGTCAGCTGGTAAACTACCTCTTCTTGCTGTGAACTCTGCTACTAGCCTCACGTGATGCAAAAACTTGGCATATCAGAAGAGAAAGCAAATATACAGTCTCTCCACACCACCCCATGTGTCATTTCACAGACATCTGTAAGTCATCCCCTTCCCTCACTCCGCAAGTTGGCTCTGTTCTAGCCTGAAGGGTCTTCACCTACTCCATCGGCTGGCTGACAGAAGTCCACACATTCACTCATCCTTGTTACACGCTTCTAATACATGGTTTTTTTGAGATTAGACTAGAACGCTATACAATGATATATGTGTGATCATGTATTTACGCTGTCGCTTTATGATGTTTTTAGGAAAAGAAATAGACTGTAACAGAAAAGTTCTAACATTGGAAGTGTTCTTCTGGCTGCCAC